CCTCTCAGCTTTTCTGATACTGTTTGCTAACACTTAAGCAGCGTAAGAAACATGAGACAATTGGCAAAAAAATAAATAAATAATTGTGAGATAGTAATCGTTGCTGCTGATGGGGAAAAAAAGTAACATCTAGAATTTAAGGGATACATTCAAAACAGTTCAAGGCTTTTTAAGTTTTAGTAGCAATAGCAATAGCACTTAGACTTATAGACCACTTAATAGTGCTTTACAGCCTTCTCTGAGTGGTTTTAAGAGTCAACAAATTGCCCCCAACAATCTGGGTCCTCATTTTACTGACCACGGAAGGATGGAAGGCTGAGTCAACCTTGAGCTTGGTAAGAATCGAACTGCTGGCAGCTGGCACTCAGCAGAATTAGCCTGCAGTACTGCATTCTAACCATTGCGCCACCACGGCTCATAGTAGAATGAAATATGGGGGAAGGAGGGGTTAGAGAAATGTTTGCAAGAGATGAAGATTTGTCCATTGATAATCCTCCACCCTGCAGAATACATTCCCAAAATCTGTTCCGGAAAGTTGAGAGACTCTCAGGAGCAGAAACCCACCTGCAGAAAATTAAGTATCTTCCATAATTACAGGTTTTTCTATTGGATTTCAAAGCTGTAACATACCTCTGTATCACAAGTCAAACAAGTTTGGTTGTTTGAGCCAGTTTACATTGCAGATAAGGTAAACTTAGTTTATTTACAAGAGGCCACTAACATTTAACATATTTTTTACTGCAAGTGGTTTTTTTAAAAAGTGTTTAAATTTAGTTGAAAACAAATATTTGAAATGTAACTTTTCTCAGGAGGTTTAACATATTTTGAAAATCTAATATATTTTTTTAAAAAATAACAGTTCAAAGTGCAGATAGTTCTCGATTCATGACCATAAATGAGCCCAAATTTTCTGTTGCTAAGTGGGACATTTGTCAAGTGAATTTTACCCCATTTTATGACTTTTCTTGCCGCAGTTGTTAAGTCAATCACTGCAGTTGATAAGTTAGCAACACAGCTGTTAAATGAATCTGGTTTCCCCATTGACTTTGTTTGTTAAAAGGTTGCAAAAGATGATCACATGACCCTGGGACACTGCAACCGTCATTAATATGAGTCAGTTGCCAAGTGTCTGAATTCTGATCACATGACTATAGGGATGCTGCAATGGTCATACATCACTTTTTTTCAGTGCCATTGTAACTTCAAATGGTCACTATTGTAAGTTGAGGACTACCTGCAAAAATATTTGTGGGGTCCCTGGTACCCTCTGAGTTTGGTTGGTTTCTTGCAGATGTTTCATTACCAAGTTAGGTAACATCAATGCTGATGATTTTAGCTAGTGACATGCTGTTGTCGATTGACATGCATATAAGTGACTTTCCATGTTTCTCCAACAATACGCCCCTCCATAGGAAGACCCAGCATGTTTTCTAGGCATCAAATGAAATTTGGGCCTAGTTTAAAACATGCAAAATTGGGGGGGGGGGGGGGGGGCAGGGGGGAACTTACCATTAGGAGTGCCCCATGGGCAGCTACGCCTCACTATCAGCCACTCCTAACACCATGGTGGAACACAGAGGGCTCCCTTACCCCTCCCTTACCCAGGTCAGCAAGCAGGCGGCATCGGCATGGATGTCCGGCAGTGTTTCAGCTGCTTCTCAGGCCTCCTTAGTTTCCATGGTTCCCACGAGTGCTGGTGCCTCTCTCACCAGCGCTGGCTCCAACAACAGCGTCTGAGTCGCTCCCGCTTTCCCCCCCTCCCCAACAACAGGAAAAAAAAGGTACCTGTGAGCACCATGCGCTGCGTTTTGGTTTAATCCCAAGTGGCTGGGTGGGCGTGAGAAGAGCCAAGCGAGCGTCTCTGCTGCTGCTACCCTTGGTGCTCCATCCTCGGGCTCTGCAAGTTTGCAAAAGTCCCGGTGCACAGCCTGTTCCTGTATTCCAAGCGCCCAGGCCGAGCTGCAGCTGTCCCTCTCTCGCCAGCGCCGTCTCCAATAACAGCGGCAGCAGCAGTGGGAACCGTAGAAGAGTTTCAGCTGCTTCTCGGGTGGGGGAACCGCCTCCATAACTTCCACAGTTCCCGCCACTGCTGCCGCTGTTATTGGAGACGGCGCTGGCGAGAGAGGGACAGCTGCAGCTCGGCCTGGGCGCGTGGAATGCAGGAACGGGCTGCGGACTGGGACTTTTGCAAACTTGCAAAGCCCGAGGCTGGAGCACCAAGGGTAGCAGCAGCAGAGACGCTCGCTCGGCTCTTCTCACGCCCACCCAGCCGCTCGGAATTAAACCAAAACGCAGTGCGCAGCACTCCCAGGTACCTCAAAATCTTTTTTTTCCTGTTGTTACAGGGACGGGGGAAAAGCGGGAGTCACTTAGACGCTGTTGTTGGAGACAGCACTAATGCGCGGGGGGAGGGGGGGAGAAATTAATTCACGTCCTAGCCATTTTTTCAGGGCTCAAAAAAAAAAAAAGGCCTGGCCTTATTTTGTGAGAAACACGGTAGTGATATGCTGATGATGTTACCTAGTTTGGTAATGAGATGTCTGCAAGAAAACAACCAAGCCCAGAGAGCGCCAGAGACCCCACAGTTGAATCCTGAACTACAAATATTCTCTTCTAGTGGTAAGTAACATTTGAAGAGCAATTTTAGGCAATTGAAATGAAAATAGGAAAATGATATCAATTTAATCTCTTTAGAATTGAAAATACAATAAAATAAAATATGTGTCTCATTGACAAGATAGTTTTAGAGCGCTTGAGTCTAATCCTAAGAAACCAACTGTGGATATCATTTCTTGATTTGAAATATAAAATTGAAAGAATCATTCCTTCAAAAACTGTAGGCTGTGAAAGGCTTTATATGTTAATACCAACACATTGAATTAAGATAGGAAATTAACTAGAAGGCAATAAAGAGGCTGACATGCTGGCATGTTTTAATACCAGCTACATTGAGTGTTCCTCTTTAATTGGAAGTTTTTGGCTGTCTTTAGCAACAGTCTCTTATATAGTGATTTGCAGTAACTAAGATGAGAAAGCACCATAGCCTGTATAGCACTCAAATTACGGTGCATTTTGAACACTTAATGTGTTCAACACATACTTAATTCAAACTTTCCAGAAGGATATAATGGTCAGTAATACTGAAAACTGTTGAAGGGTAGCTCTGTTTTTGTCTTCCTGGCAGCAAAGATGATTTCACAGGGCAACTAAAGCAATTTCACTGGCAATGACAGATCTAAGTCCTTTTTATAATGGATTTATCCAGAAATAATGTATTCACCAATTCGAATAAAGTGGTTATATTGATAGGGAATAACAGGTGTATTATAAAACAATATTTATTTTTAACCATCCATTTATAAAGCACTTTTATAGCAACCAATAAAGCTTCATTAAAAATACCAATGAATACAACTACACAATTAAAATTATTAAATCAACTTAATAAAATACTATTCCATAAAATATCAAGAGCAAATACTGAATTGCTCTTTATAATAGGCTTCACGTTTTGCTACAGAAACTCCTTAAATTATGTCTCACATAATTGTATTGCTCAATCACATTAGAACAAAGGATTTTTGAGGACAGGAGTAAGTGTCATTTTATATTTTACTAATGGCTTGCATGCAACTTTGGGCCTTGGAAAAAGTTATCTAACATCTGCTTTCAGTCCTTTTCCATCTACCAATTGTGCACATATTTCTCGTTATGGAAGAAAATGACACGGGAGACAAAGTATGGCCCTCACAATGGCTATCTGCTCTTCATGGCTGAAAGTTCATTGCCATTGCTTCTGAAGACTTATACATCATTCATCTAAGAATTCTGGAATGCTTGATACCATAAGCAACATGTCCATATATCTGCATTAGCACTGATTGATTTCAACAGCAATGTAAATATATAATGGGAGAATTGCACTTGTAATGAAAAGAGAATGATTAATTATACATTCAGGAATAATAATAAGATTATTTAAATTATTCATACCCTAAATTAACAAGAATGTGAAGAATGAAAGGAACTCAGATATTAGCTTGTGTTGACATTTGTTTTTCTTTGAATGTAGCAGTCCCAGGTTTGAAAACTGGAAAAAAAACCCAAGGAAGGAAATGGTTAGATCTTTGCCAAAATGTATACATGTGTGTGACTATCAAGTGCTTAAGTTGAGCAAGACTTTATCTTGAATCCACTCAGTTCTTGCAGTTCTTTTACTTAAATATATATATATAATTACAGAAGGATTTTGGGTGGGTTTTAATGTTATCTTTGTCAGGACATAAAGGCTTATGCATATGTGTATGTCTATCCCTTTATATGTCATGTATTGTGTCTCATTGTGTGTCATTACATGCTTTTATATGTTTGTGCTTAATTAGTGGGATAGCAATTAAGCAAGCAACCAAAGTTAAACTTGCCTTTTAATGCTTGCAAGAAAGTGATATAATGCTAAAATAGACTTTCTATCACCACCGGTACCTTAAATTGTATCCCTCTCAATAAGTCAAAGATACTTTGGGAGATTGTATGAATTGATGTATAAATTATTAATTTTTAGTACTCAGATTTCAGATAGCTATGATGTACTTCTTTCTTCTTTTAATTGGGAGCAGACTTTTAGACTAAGATCACTGATTGTAATCATAGCTGTTTAATCCAAGTCTGGCAGGTTCAGATTGAACCGGCTGAGCCAAACTTAAACAATCCACATTATTATTGCACTTTTTAAAAATTATCCTCCCCCCCCCTATTTTTTTTTAATGAAATACTGTTTTACTATTTTGTATATACCTGTTGATGGGAAGGAAACAAAGGCAAAGCAACTTTGGTTGTGGATAGGCCTAATTAGTGCTTCAGCATGCTTTCTTTGGAAAATCAAATTAATTGACAATATTTATAACAGTAATCAAACGCTTCATGTGACTTCTCCAAAACTGATATGATTTTGCATATGATTCCAGTAGCATTTTTTAGTAGTGAATCATAGACTGAAATTATACTTCTGTTTGGTATTTATGTTCTCTTGTTTCTCCACACTACCAGGTTCTTCGATCAGTGTTGAGCAATGCAAGCATGTAGTGTCTGAGCTCCAGGACAGTATGCGTAAGGCCATCCAGATATATCGCCTGGTAAGCCACCTCTTTGTTTCTATTAGATCTAATTGCTTAGGTATAAAACTAACTTATTAATTCAGAAATATATAACTAAGGATAGGAGCAAAAAAAAAAATCCATTAAAGAGTAGGCATCTGTTCTTGTTCTTGTGTGTGATTAGAAACCAGATGCAACTACACTAGCAAACCAGAAGGTAAGCTGAAAGAATTTCAAGTTGTTGACCAACTATAGCTAAAGGCCAAAATATGTATTATAATTATGCATTCATAAGGCTTTAGTAGCGCTTTACTTTTTCTTTACTTGCAAGTGACCAAAGACCTTTCAGAAGCATTATGAAATTCATTTGTTTGTCTTGATCTTTAAAATTCATCAGAAGACAAATATTGTTATTTTTCAAACAATTACAGGTAGCTCTCATTTACCAATCATTCATTCATTGAACATTGGAAGTTGTGATGGTGCTGAAGAAATAATTTTATGGCCATTTATGACCATTGTTTGATCCCTCCATCACGTGAATACAATTACAGTCAGTACATGTTGCCCTCTGCCTACCCTGTGTTTTCCCTCTCCCCTTGTAGAGTGGAGAGATTGGAGAGAAACGGATTGCAAGAAAGAAAGCTGTTTGTTCTTCAATGCATTGAAGACAATGTGACCCCACCAGCAGTCTGGGGCCTCAGGCTGGGGGTCATGGGCATGCTAGACGAACAGTTTATTCTCTTGAAATCTCTTTCTCTTCAATCTTTCCATTTTGCAAGAAGGCAGGGAGGAAAGAAAAAGCAAGTAAGCAATCTCTCCTTGCCCTTTTCTTCTCCTGATCCTTCCCTTCCTTCCTCCATTGCTGACCAAAGAGATTGAAGAGGGATTTCAAGGGAATGAGCTCTTTGCTCTTTTCTACACCAAAAGCAATGCACTCACATGGCAACCTGGAGCTTGGAGCCATAGACATCAATCTTACAGTATTCTTTCAAAGTCTCTTTTTCTCTAATCTCTCTGTTCTGTGATGGGTGGAGGAAAAGAAAAAAAAGCAAGCAATCTCATTAGGCAATTTCTCTTTTGCCTGGCCCTCTCTCTCCCCACTCCCAAATCCCTATGCCCAGATTGAGGAAGGGTGACTTGAGTTTTAAATGATCTTGTATGCTTGCAAGTTATAATCTTGCAACATAGGATTTACTGCTGATAGCTGTTGTTCGTTCCTTTGTTTTTCTAATATAATAAACTTAGCCCTAAAACAAACCTATTTGCACTTCTTTTTCAGGTATCTACTGACATGGAATCTTCACCTGATAAATATAAGATTGCGGGTCTCTTGACTGAAACTTTCTCTGTGATGAAAAAAGAATTGGATTCTCTGAAAGATGGCAATGGACTTCAAAGGAAGAAAGATCAACTGATGCAAACACAAAACATAGTTGGAATGCCATTAGTGGAGGGCAGTGGTGAAACTTTATCTAGCCTTCGGCACTTTGGAGATGACCAAACTCTCGCCTTGTTGGAACAATACTCAGAGTTACTGCTACAAGCTGTTGAACGACGTATGGATAAAAAACTTTAATTATCGTTTTCAGCAACAAACACTTTTAATGGAATGCTGAACCATACACAAAAACTGATGGAACCTTATCATATTGACAACTTGAAATAACATTTTGGGGTGGTTTTTTTTTAATCCAATGGGCAAATATCTTTTCTTTTAACAGAAACAGTTCTGTCCACAACTTTTTAAAATGTGCTGGTCACAGTACTAATCCCCTTGTGCCTATCTCCTCCACTAAGAGTATTATAAGAAATATTTGGCTTAAAAACCATTCAAGCAATTAAAGAGAATTGGTCAATCGTCCAGGGGTGGCCCAGCCTGAAACTGCTGACTTAATAGAATGAGATCAAACTGAAATAGCTTTGTCCCTCTGCAGTGTTATCTCAAACTAGGCACAGACTATTAAAACGTTTATTTATTAATTTATTTTTACTATTATAATTCTGAAACTTTTACCTGGGTTTTGCAGTTATAGTTATTTTGACATCTTTTCCACATTTATAGTGAGAGAGATTTGATATAGTAAATATACTGATGGAACAGCAGGTGGGTTATAGAACTGCTTTCTGCTGTAGCCTGCATTACTGAATTTTGCTTCCTTGTTCCTTTTTATTATGCCAATATGTTTTATTTTAATTTTGTATTTAGCATTATGATCATTCTGCTTTTGTTTTCCGTTTAAAGAAAATCCTGTGCTCTATTTTTTATTGTTTCCACAAAACACCTATCCTTTGGCTCAGCGTCCAGAGATTTGTTACAAAGCTTGTTGGTTAAAAGAAAGGCTTTTTTAACCGGACTAGTTCTACTTTTCTCAGGTTTTATGTAAAACCAGATCCATCAGAGTCAAATTGATGCAGTTGAATAACTATACATTTTTAAAAAAAATCTTACTGCTGGGTTATGTTAGTGGCATCAGCTACTGGACTCATGATATTAGCACTGTTCTGTTTTTTGTGGATATAGAAATGTAGGCAGATGGATACGATGGGGAAGGGGTAGTGGTAGAAAACAAGTCAGTGATGAAAGCTTGTAATCAATACATACATCTTCAGATATTCCTAACTTCCCAAAAGAGAGATCCCCTTTCTCTGACTATGACTGAAATCTGAAAGCAATCCAAGTGTGAGTGTTCAGGAAATACTGATTGCTATGACATTACTGTTCTATTTCTTTCCTCCCTTACACTGGAACATAACTAAGGCTGCATGAAATATTACTGTGTTCTACATTGTGGCAGACTTCTCCAATTTCGTATCAATTAACACATTGTCTTTGTTCAAATGAAGAAGGAAAGTAAGTACAGATCTACATCTTTTCAGCTCTGGTACCCTTTGTATTGAATTATTAATCCTAACATGTCTGAAGTATTCACTGATTAAAAAAAGGAACCTTTTAAAACAATAAAGTTATAAAACTTTAATACTACTCTCTCAGGTTAGACCAGGGGTGTCCAACCTTGGCAACTTTAAGACTTGTGGACTTCAAGTCCCAGAATGCTGGTTGAGGCATTCTGGGACTTGAAGTCCACAAATCTTAAAGTTGCCAAGGTTGGACACCCCTGGCTTAGACAATAGCAGTGTTTCTTACTGATGATCTGGTCATTTTAATAAATAGCTTCATTGTTATAGCCTAGCTTCCCTCTTCTGCCTCCTAGATTTGTTGAGGTTAAAACAACTGTGTTGGGAATTCCTAGCCAGTATGGTCTAAAGTAAAATTCTGAAGATTTGCGCTCACAGTCAATCTAGAGGGCGCCATGGTGGAATAGGCTGATTTAGATATTTCCGACTTTCTACTTGCATTTTGTAAACTGTCATGTGAACATCTGTCTTCACTGCTCCAGATATCTGGCCACCTGTAGTATAACTTTTTGTCTGAATCTCATTGGCTTTCAACTCAGCACCACTGCAGTGTTAAAGAAATCTGTTTCCATTTTGGCTGCCCATTGAACTCCAAGGCTGGAGACTTGGAACAGTTAGTGCTGTTTAATTATGTCATTTCTGGATTTGCTTAGATTTGAATGATAGTTGACACACTTCTTAAAACTGAGCTTTTTCCTTCCAGCTGTAGATGCTTAAATCCAGAGATACAAGAAAAAAGAGTCTTATTGCTAGACTGCTGGAATATACTCTTAATTTAAGTGAAAATTAATGTGGCTTTTTTTCTATACATCTATGTTGGGAAATGTCTTAATAGCCAAACTATCTTCTTCCTGTTCATATCTAGACTGTAAAAAGTGTTCAATGCTCAGGAATCTTTCCTATGCTGGAACACATGCACTCAGGTAAAGAAGTCATGCTTCCAGATATGCTGTGGCATGAACAATGAGAAATTCAGAATGTCTATTCAATCTTGACAGGGTCAAACGTTCAGATGTCTTTGGAAATAAAATCAATTTGCTGATAATTTATACCTCAAGCATTAACAAGTAATGATTAATCAGGGACTGCCTTGAATAAGAGGCAACATCAAAACTCCTGTTAATTTCAAAGCAGTTTCCAGTGTATAAGTTTCATTGTGTTATTCTTAGATCGGGAACTTAGATCAGGTAGGAAAATACTGTAATACCGATGGGGATTTGGATGTGAATTAGAACTGTAGTTTTGTGAGTCTTGAGTAAGTAGATATTTAATGAGGAATGGATAGGCCTGTAATTTCTAATATTTCATTTAAAGGCATACCGAAGGCTTCTAGGAAAGTTATAGGGCTGAGAATCAGTTGACTTGAGGAGGGAAATAGAATGAAAAAGTTATGGAATGGAAAAGAGACATTGTAAGTAGAGATAGCAGTTAAACGATAATGTAAATGAGTTTGTAATTAAAAATTGAGATATGTTTGTCTTTTAAGTGCCCTTTATTTTCCCACTAATATATATGATTTGGGCATTGGGAATAAATATTCTCAGCCAATAAAATTTTTCAAAGCCATTTGAGTTCCATGAGATTCTGACCTCCTTTATTTTCTCTATGTGGTCAGAAAGAATCAAAGAGAAAATCCTACATGTTCTCCATGGAAAATACTTGATGTAAAATACACTTTTTTGTCATTGGTGGCACCTTATAGTAATTCAAATGTAAACTTTGGAGCATTGCTTTTTAAAAAGTTAGATCATAAGAAGATTTTGTGACAGCTAGCATCCTTTTGTTTTCAACTGCATGCAGCTTTTCTGGTGTTATTATGGATGTCCATTAGCCCTTTAAGGAAATGTCAACATGTTGTCTAGGGAGAGGAAAAATATAAATGCAGTATTTCAATCTGTTCTATTTCTAATGTTTTTAATGTATGCATGCAATTTCTACATATTAAAAACAAACTCAAAGAGAGATTGTAAAAGATCAATTTCTGATGTCATATTTGCATATTGTCTCTGTGTTTTCTGAAATGTTTCTTAATGTGATTTAAAGTTTCTTATACTATTTCTCTTTTCAAAGATAGCCTTTATTAAAAAAAAATACTGTGCATGGGACATCACCCTGTTTCTATAAAACACAGGAAAACTTTCAAAGGCTGAAATATGTGCACACCAGTTATAGATATTTGAATCTGGTGTTTCTACATATGAATGTCCTGTTATGTACCTGTACTTGTTTTCTTTTTTGTATAAATATCTTTTTGATATTGGGGCTTATTCACTTCTCCTTTTCACTCCAGTGATCCAGAACTTACTGATCCCAAAGAAAGAACCAGCCAACACCGAAGGCAGTGTTTTAAAACAAGTAACATTGTCATGTATGTGCACTCACCCACTGGATCTACAGAATCCAATATTTAAAATATTACAGATTCAGAAAGCAGAGCAGCTACTGTACGGCCCTTTGGGTATTGCTGACTAAATTGTTATTTCTCTAGATTTAAAAAAAAATTCCTGTATTATTTGTAAATAATAAGCTGAAGCTGGGCTGCTTACATTGGGCTAACCTGCTGTAAATTAGGAATACAGTAAGCCATGTCTACACAACGTATCTTTAAGCCTAGGGTACACATAGCTTTTATCTGTGTTCTTTCAACACTCCCTTTTTATTTTACACTTGCTTAAAAGGAGAAAACAACCCTAAACCTTATTTATAAATTGTGTTTTATATCTTGATTTTAATGGAAAATGAACCTTTTACAATGTCCTTTTATAATTATTTGAAAATTGTTTTAATGGTTGTTGGGGGGTTTGCACTGTGAGCGACTTTGGGGGGTATTTTTAATTCTGCATTCATTTGTACTCAATGTCTAAATTTCAATAAACAAATTTATTGTTACAAATTTATTTTCATGCTATTGTTTACTATGATTTTGTTAAGGCAATTCAGGGATGGGATTCAAATTTCTTAACAAATGGTTCTATGGGCATAGCCGAATTTGTGGGTGTGGCTTGGTGGTCATGTGACTGGGTGGTCATGGCTTCCTGACTGGGCGTGGCTTGGTGGTCACCTGACTGCCTGGGCATGTCTTGTATGTAAACATTGTAAATATTTATGTAAATATTTTTTATAAAAAAGAACAACTTTTACCCAAAATCAGGCAAAGCAGGAAGGCAGATTGAGTTGCTTGCAGAATCACAGAGCCACTCACGGATCTACCTTTCTGCAATCTACTGCCTGAGTCTGCACTGAAAAATAGAAGCTTCAGTCATAAGGAAGGTTCAGCTCTGTTCTCAGGCCACTTCTTCCCCCCCAACCCCCTGAATACTACCCCTGACTGGGGCCTCAGGGAAGCCTTCTGGGCGAAGGCAACTTAGATTAGCTAGAAAGCAAGAAATCCAACAATTTCCTGCTTTCTAGCTAATCTAAATTGCATGGCACAGCTGACAGAACAGCTGATTGTTGGAGGGGGGGAAGGAAAAATAGTAACTTACCAAAAATTAGGTGAAGGCACAATGCAGGCAAGTTGAATGGCGTGCATGCCAGGTAAGGAGTGACTGGGTAGTGGTGCAATTTGCTAGTTCTCTGAACTGCACAGAATCGTAACAACTGGTTCTATAAAACCAACCAGGTAGAATCCCACTCCTGAGGCAATTGATGAACTTAGTGAGGCTACAAAATAAAGTGGAATATACTATATTTCCTCCAGTAATTTTGAACTGTGAAAACAGGCAAAAGTTCTTTAAGCTACCACTAATTATTGTTCTATAAATCAGTTTCCTGTGCAGTATGTGTAAATTTACATTTTGCTGGTCAACCCTCCATGGAGCACTCGTCAAGAACCACCTGTACAGTCACCTTAAATTCAGTGTATATTTAATAGCCTACAACAAAGAGAAAGAGAACTACCAAATAGGTAAAAATTAGTACAGTAAACAGAGCCAATTGTGTTTTCGTATGTTTCAGCAATGATCTGTTAACTAGCCTAGTTGTAATGGGGAGAAACATTAGTTAGTACAAATGTACTGTATGTCGAAAAGTAAGACTTACATATTTTCTTGTGTGACAATGTGGTACAGATGGTAGTAATTGTAGTAACAGTTATAGTTTTGCCACAGAAAATACTTTGATTCCATAATACTGCTCAGGAAAACCACTTTGGAGAAGTGGTTCAGGCACTATGATAGAAACTCTGAGACTCCTGCCTTAGGCACTTAGCTAGGTGATCTTCAGCCAGTCACTGTTTCTCAGCCCTATGAAGGAAGCAATGACAAACTACTTCCCAAAAAATCTTTCCGAGAAAACGGTAGCGTATTGTCCTGGGAGTTGGCAGGAGTCAAGACTTATTCAAAGGCACTATTAATTAATTAATCAAATTTATATAGCTGCCCATCTCACGAGAATTGACTATATGAATGTTAGCTATGTTTGCATTTGCATGTTTTACAACATTTGCATTGTATGGTTTGGAAATAAACCCTTACCTATGGAAATGGATAGGAGTCACCTTCAGCGGGATGAGCAGCATGCACATCTGATAAATATAAAAAGTGAAATAATAGCATCAACAATAAATAGAAATGGGGGACAGCAGAAATGCTGCTTCACAAATAACTGCTGAGTCTGGACTTGGCAGGATTATGCACTGTGATTAAGGTAAACTAAATAAGACATATACTCCTTAATCACAGTTGAATTTGTGGTCTGGATTGGGATGACAGCATTTTAATTGGGTTGTCAAAAAGCATATTTTAATGATTATATTCTTTAACTTTGATTTGGGAGTGAGCGGAAACTACACCCATTGAACCAGTATTAGTATACTGTGGCTTGCTTTGGGCATTTTTCTGACCACAAGTGAAACCTAGTTAGAATTTTTCCAGCTGGAATGTGCTTGTGGGATGAAGCATCTCTAGGGTGAAAGACTCTTCTGTCTTCTCCTAACTGCAGAACCTGATATCCAGCACAATTTTGGACACTTTGTATTGTGTGTGTGAGACTCGTAAGTTTTGTGGCGCCGCTGGGGTTTCTTTAACACTTTTCCCTCCAGATGGTCTGAGAAGCTTTGCCTTCTGCCCCGCAACCAGCCGCTGAAGTCGAGTTGGGGGAAGGGTGTATGTGTGTGCGACGGAGCCGTGAGGCGCGTGTAGCGTCTTCCCCTGCGGAGGGAGAAAGCGGAGTCTGGAAGGGGCGTGGTCTAAGGCCGGTCGTTGTCGTCGCTGCGCACGCGCACATAAGACTCACCCCCACTCCCGATGGCGGAGCCTGAAAGGGAAGTTGGGATGCTGCAAGCGATGAAGCGTTGTTTGGCTGATTTCCCCACCGAAGCCCGGGGTGAGCGGGATGTGTGTCTGTGATCAGAGGCACGTTAGAGACAGCGAAAGCTAACCCCTCCCTGCTAACCCCTCCCTGCTTCTACCAGTGCATAAATGGAAATAAGAGTATATATACAATCCATTTATGGACTAAGAACTACCGGAGGAAAAGAGAACGATAGTAATTTAGTATCATGCTGAATATTGCAGACCACATTCTTTTTTTTCTTTTTTTTTTTTTACAGGGGGAGGTTTTAGGATTTAGGGGCGTCATAGCAGAATTTGTCTCGCCGATTGGGTTCTGTGTTAAGGCGGTCCAAAGAACGCGGGATGGTCCTCTGCCCTGGAAACCTGCAACGCCCCCCCCTCCTGCTAACCCACCCCCCTAAATAAAAAAGCTGGCATAGTTTTGCTGCCATCTAGGGCAGAAGTCTCCAACCTTGGCAACTTTAAGACTTGTGGACTTCAACTCCCAGAAGTTGCCAAGGTTGGAGACCCCTGATCTAGGGAATATTTGCATTGCAAAGTTGGTAATGCCCCAAGTCGATTGTCATAACCCTGGTGATCTTAAAGTTCCGATTTCCAAACCAATGTGTTTGCTACTTTCCAAATTGGGAGATCTGGCTCCACAAAATGCTGTACATTCTGTAACGAAGCAGTGATAATGAAGTGTCATATGGAGGCTGTTGGTAGAAATGTAGCTAGGAAGTTGGAGCATAACATTCCCAAAAGCCTAGGCCCGTTCATTTGTGGCACTCGGCAGTCCCAGCTTGCACAGCAAAAATATTGAGTACAATATATTTGAATTATTCTACTCCTCGGTCTGTTACCGAATCTTCTGGGAAGAATGACAGAATTATAACTGCTCCAAGAAAACTTTAGGCAGAGTTGTCAATCCCTAAAATGATTGCAGTGTTCATATATTTTCGCCCCCCTGTGCGAATAGAGTTGTGTTGGTCAGAATCAGTGCCGTACCTTGATATTCTTCCACCTCCCCTGGAATTCTACCGGGAATGGATCTGCCCAAACAAACCATGTATAATCCGAAATGCTTTCCACCACTGGCCGGCTCTGAAGAAGTGGACCTTGGGTTACTTGAGGTAGGAGGCTACAAGTAATAAAGATGTGATATGTGTAAATGTATGTGTGTACACCCCCCCCACCTACATCCATCCTCCCACCCACCCACCCACCCATCTATCATCTATCATTTATCTATCCTCTGGCAGGGGTCTTCAAATTTGACAGCTTTAAGACTTGTGGACTTTAACTCCCAGAATTCCTCCTCCAGTCATGTTAGCTCAGGAATTCTGGGAGTTGAAGTCCACAAGTCTTAAACTTGCCAAGTTTGAAGAACCTTGATCTATTTTGTCTGTCTGTCTGTGTGTCTATCTATTTATCTATCTACCGTATCTATTTTATATACACACACCTCATATGATGTCTTGATGATGAGGTTTCCAGCGCATCTGAGCGTGTTCATCCACTTTTGCCTAAAACATTGTGACTGACATAAATCTGTTTCTTGCACAAGGATAAATCTCTTGTGATATTTTTGTTGCAGGCAAAAAATGGGCTCCAAGCTGGTGAGTGTGGCAGTAACCCCCAATGGTTATGCTGATGCGGTTTATCAGGACTGGTTTGTTATGCCAGAGGAGCGTCATATGCCTTTCAGTGCTTTTTTGGACATTTTGGAAAAGAAGATAACTTCTCCAGGGGTGTTCTATGTGCAGAAACAGTGTTCAAACTTGACTGAGGAATTTCCTGAACTTATAGGTGATGTGGAGCCTGAGATACCTTGGATGAGCGAAGCACTGGGTAAATATTAAAATCCTAATATTCCAGAATTGGCACTATAGTAGACAGCTGCTTTTTGGCTTTGGAATGCTCCAAGTTTACTTTGCTCATGGAGAAGATGCAGTCAAAATTGATAGTTTTATTATTGTGCATGTAGTTCCCATATAAATAATAAGTTATATGCCTTTTGATGTTGTTGGTCAGAATGACCAAGAGCCTTTGAGTGGTGTAGTAAATATTGCCTGCCAAGACTTTAGCAGAAGTATTTTAATGCAGTTAATGTTATTCTGTGTCAAATTAAAAATCAAATGTTTAATTTATCAAACACATGCAGGCTAGCTCAAAGTTTTTTAAGAGTTTCAAGAAAGCCCTAAAACCACAAATTGTGCTTCCCATTTCTAGGAGTGACATAAGGATACGCTATGGGGCAGTGTGAAAAAGTCCAACGGAAGCTGTAATCATTCAGTGGAAGCCATGTTACATTTTAAAATGTGCATTTTAAAATGTGCATACAGTAAAAGGGGCATGACATTGATCCTGCAAATGCAACCACCATGAGTTGAAGTTTTCGACTTTGTGAAATGTCCATTTTTATAGATACATTTGCACCAATAGGTGGAGTTGTTTCCCATGAAGTTCTCAGTGTCCCCTGGTGATGTTGGTATTAAACCTGTGAATTACTGTTTTTTAGTAGGTGCTTGCAGAAAACAAGAGCAGAAATTTTGAAGATCTAAGGATAATATGTTAAATGGTGTAATATAATAAAATAAAATTAGAAATAATTAATCATATTGCATAATTTCATCAACCTCCAGAGTTCATTAAATGCTGCAAGTGTTTGTGTAGGTGTTTTCTATATTTTACTTGTATTATCAGAATTCTTTGACATCCCTAACTATATTCAACAATTCCTTGAATATATTTACCTAGTTTAGAGGTAAAACCATTGGCTTCAGTTTAGTTCCCATATTTAGTTTATGTGATGGTGAAGTGTTGCTGGTATGTGAGTTAATGTGGTATTTGGTTCTTCCGTTATTATCTAGAAAAAAATAGTTTATTTCTCCCTTCTCCCCAACCAAAACCTATTCTAGAAGTTTACAGAGGATATAGGTTCAATTATCCCAAGTTGTTAGATTGGGGTTTTTTTTAACGATAACACTGACAGTGAAATCTATTTAAATAATTACATCTGGGTATTGCCAATCTTGCAGAATACTAGAAGAAATTTCCTGCTGATAAAAACTCTTAAGCAGCGGAACTGTCTGCCTAGATTAGCGATTGAATTTCTTGGTGGATGGCTACTGCAGAAGATTGCATTGGATGTTTTATTAGATATCTTCCAATTCCTAGAGTTTGACTCTATTGAATTTTAAAATCAGAAGAGAATGAACATGAGAAAGACAGTTTGATCTAGTGGTTAAAGCACCAGGCCAGAAACCAGGAGACTATGAATTCTGGTCCTGCCTTAGTCATGAAAGTTGGCTGACCTTGGGACAATTACTCTCTCAGCCACACTTGGGAGATCTGAAAATAGCAGATCCTGTACTTTCAGGAAAATGCTAGGAAGGAAAAAAAACTCAGAATGGAAATGAGCCTCTGTTGTCAGCTGCTTTCATTGGGAAAGCACTTATTCATCGTGTATAATAGCGATAATATATATTTCTGAGGCATTAACAGCTGTTTCTTCCAGATTTATTCAGAAAGGATGTTAAGAAAGGCTGCTAATTGACTGAGTGAAAGTAAAATTCTTTATCAGAAGATCTGCAAGGTAAGATAACAGAACCCAGACCTTTTTCTGATTTGACTTTTTTTTTTAAATAGGAAAGAAGCCCGATGCTGTGAATTTCTGGCTGGGAGAATCTTCTGCAGTGACTTCATGTATGTATGAGAACAGTGCATTCACTGCTGCACCAAAGGTGCTTTTTCAAGAGGCAACTGGACTTTGTGGTTTTTCTTTGAAGACATTTTGCTTCTTGGATTAAAAAAACAAACAGAAAGTGTAGTTGCCTCTTGAAAAAGCACCTTTGGTACAACCTTGACCTGGATGACTGACAATCTCCATAGATATTCTCTGCTGCAATTCATAATTGGTAGGCAAATTTGAGCACCAAAACACCTTTTTAAAAAATAAAGGAAAATTCCTGCTTTTGGGGAACAATGTTTGAAATATCTTCCTTACTCCTAACTGTTACTATAACTGAACCTAGTTCCCCACTCCTATGTTGCAGTTACTTCACCTGGACAGAATTTTGGAGGGAAGAAAGTGGGTGGGAGGGGTGATCAGAAGACACAGGATTACAAATAACAGGCAATGACGCTTAGACTCAATTCAAGGAATCAGGCAGAGCAATTGTGTAATGAAAGGCTTACCTAGAAACCTGCTGAGTTGTTGTTTTTTCAAGTCCTGATTGCTGAATATTATTATAATCAGTATTTTAAATGATCGGTGGATAGCAAAATAAAAAAACTAACCCACTTACAAATTCATACTTGTGCTTTATTTTTGTGCTATGTTTATTATGGAGGTAACAAATGACCATTCCCTCTTCCTTTTCCCAGTCTTTCATTTTTCTCCCCCCAAT